TGGGGGGGGGGGGGGGGGGACTGCAAAGAAGGTGATTCAGTTAAGTTTGTCAGGTTCTTGTGATTTAGTCAGACTGCACTGACTACTTTACTAAGATCTATCACTTTATATTCTCTAATGACAGTTCTGCGAGTATAAACAATTACACAGTTGATCTGTTTTTAGTGGATGCCACCACACTTTCATATTTATTACAAATAAAATTGATACATCAGAAAGGTACCTTGCCAACTGAAAGTAAAAACTCCAATCTGACCAAAACATGGGAACTTCCAATATGAAGTCCTTACCAGTTATGCATGGACCATGCCACACCTTGATAACAGAATTCACTATATGGGGTTGGTAAAGATGAAATTACACTGTTCTCATGCCTAAAATTACTTATTCTTTCGAAAGAGCACTTAGTACTGACAGATGTCAATCCAACTCTTTTCTTGAGTAATAACATTTAGTTCACAAGGTTAACGTGAACTAATATTCACTGATGGTGCCCTACAGCTCTCAAACAGAGCAGTAAGTCATTTTTGGAAAGTACTCTGACAATTGAGTAAGATTTTTAAGTTGCCATTTTTTCTCCTTTGTCAGACCAGCAGATCTTGATGTATAATCTTCACTAATACTTTCCTCAAGGGCCTGGTCAATATTTTAAACACAAATGGAAATCACAATTCATTAAAATAAATCAGCATCCTATTCTGACACTTAAGCGATCCATGCATCCCATATGACAATAAGCTTTATTTTTCATACCACCACCATATATTTTACATAGGTAGAACACGGATGCTTTCATCAGGGTTTCTAACTCTTACTTTCATAAGAATCAGAATAATAATCCTCCCAGACACATGGGGAAGATTTTTAAGGGAACAAGGATGCATATTTTAACAACAAGTGCAAGAGCAGCCTGTTTTTCCTTTCCATCTTGTTTCCACATAGAGTTCAGCAAAACCTTTTTGAAGATCAAGGTGTTAAAACATAAGGAATGGACATTTAAAGGAAACAAGCCCTATTGGGGAGATGATATTCCAAGCCAGAGAGTAGAATAGAAATTAATCTCACTGTAAGGAGACTAACTAGGTACGAACTCATTCTTCCTGTCTCAGTACTGAGGGCGACTGCAGACAATACAACCAGATGGGACCAGCCACCGGTCTGAGCTGGTTATGTACACTGAGATTGACCAGACTACAGCAAAGCTGCTAGTAAAGGCAACCTTAATGGAACCTGGATCACTACCTCTGTGTCAGTCTTCAAATGCACATACTGAGTGTATTTCACACTGAAAAGATTACACAAGGGGAAAAAACCCTCTTTATTTTACTTAGAAAGATTAGACCCTTTGCATAAAATTGGCTACCTTATTAACATGCACTGCTTCATCAAATTTGGTGCAGTGACTCATACACACTTAAAAACACGGAGAAAAAGCAGCAGAAAAGAAAGGTGAAGTTTCTAAGTTGTGAAAACAAGTTCAATGTGAATCCTTGCAGACTAGTCAGAGGACAGAATGTGAAGATGCCTCATTGGAGACAAAGGTGAGAGGAGCATGATTTAGAGATACAGGTTAAAGTGAACAGAGGTTTTGAAAAGATCTGAATTGCTTAGAAAGAAGGAATTCCAGAAATGAGACCCCTTTTCCATGTCTATAGTACAGTGCAATGTACAGAATTATTAATATGCTGTGCTTGTAAGGAAATTAGGTGGATACATGGCAGGGATGTTAAATCTCATTTCATTAGTTAACCAGTTAAACATTATGTTTAAACAATTAAATGAGGGCAACTGGCCTGGAGCACCCCTGGCCTGTGGTGGGGCAAAAGGGGCTGCTCCAGCCCTCTGCCAGTTAACCATTCATACACCCCAATACATGGCCTGATGTATAGGAAGCAGTAAGCTCATGAGGGCATTTTTGAGTTCACCTGTCTCCTATTGCATCTACAGAAATGGTAAGACAGTGTAATACGGACACATTTATTCAGTAATGGCTAGACCACGGGTGGGCAAATACTAGCCTGCAGGCCAGATCCAGTCAGCCAGGGTTAGCCACCCTGCTATATTTAGCTGTGCCTCCGCAAGTACAGACAATTGCAACTCCTGTTGGCCGTGGATTGCCGTTCCTGGCCAATGGGAGCTGCAGGAAATGGTACAACCACCAGAATCTGCGGAGGCACATCTAAATATAGTGGCAGCAGCCTATCAGGCGAATCATTGCAGTTTTATTGCATGCCCTCCCCCCAATGAACAGAAGTAGTTACCTGATGAAAAGCAGCATGCGTACACACACACAATTATATAGTTGTTACCAGAAAATAACTGAATGTGCCTTTTTAAAGCATATCAAGACCAAGGATCAAGGCTTATTACCTCCTATTTACCTTATTACCTCACTGCCTACAATGGTAGAAACTAATACCTTAGAATTCCAACTTTAAATATGATGATATAAGTTTAGGAATTAGTAATAAGATATGGCATGTCAAACATGTAAATCACTGGATAGAGCATATGTTGATGTGACCAGAAGTTACTATTTGATGTGGCCTAAGTCTACCTCAAAAAAACATTGACTCAAAGTCACATGAACGGAACATGTGCTGAGAGAATGGACTTGAAAATTGTCTCTCTCATCTCTAGGTTTTCATTCAATTCCAGTTTGAGGCACTGGAGAGTTCTAGGAAATGGAGAGTTCTAGGAAAACTCAGTCTGACCACTATCAGTGGTCAGAGATTATTTGATAATACTGCTCATACAGCATCTTTCACCAGCAAAAGAGTTATTTAAAAGTACTGAGCTTTAAACACTAAGCCTATGGCTTTTTAAATGTCTTTTCCTAAGTGATGTTAAGCACCTCAAACTCTACTAACGTCAGCAGGAGTTGGTTACGGTCCCTACAGCGCAGGATCAGGCCCTAAATGCACAGGATGTTCTGATATCCATAATCAGTAATAGTTTTTTTAAAAAAAAGCTAAATAAAGAATCTGAGTGCTCCAGATGGCATGAGCTACAGACTGTTCAAAATGAAATATGAGAAGCAGAGGATGCCAAACAATTTCTAATTGGAAATCTTTTGCATCAAAGCAAGCTTTATATCCAGTTTTACTCTTTATTTGCCTCAGGGAAAATCTTTGGCGGGGTGTAGGGGAGAGGAAGTGTATTTCCAACAGATTCTTTAAAATGTGTAACACCCCTGGCTAAGTATCTGCACCTGCACTCTTTGTTTATTCTTGCTCTGGGATAGAACACTCCCCCACCTGTGGCTATGCACTGTCTTTGCCAAAATAAAGTCCTAGCACCGAACTCAGGGCTTTATCTCCTCTTCCAACTCCTGACAGCCCTCCTATGTCCAGGGCACTGCAGCTCTACTAGCCAGCCACTTCCCATGCTCTTACAGCTCTAGCAAGGAACTCCCTGACTCTGGCCCAGCAGCTCTCTTTATGCTAGCTTGCTGATCCCCGATTGGCTGCTTCTCACAGCCGCTCCAGGGAGCTTGGAGGACTTCTCTACTGCTCTTTTCAGGGACTAGATATGGTAGGGCCACAAAACCTCCAGCAAGAGGCCTTGGAGCATACTCCATCCTGCCACAGCATGCAACCCAGAACCACAACTAAAAATATTTCAGACCAGAGCATTTTTAATCAGTTCAGTACCTGTAAATTGGGACTCACAATGGAAAACTTTCATAGACCGAATAGCTGCACAACTGAACACCAAGTGCAGGTATTGCACTTATTTACACTACTTAAATCTGGAATAGTTCCATTAGTTCTCCGTGGAGAGGTGCTATATTTTCCATACACAAATAGCCAACATGTTCTTCCAGGCTAGATTTATTTTAGAATGCAGATTCCAAGCCAGAATCCCATGGTACTCAGCAGTCTCTCTCACTAAAATCCCTCCATCTTGAATTGCCCTTACCACTCTC